TATTATTGATGTAAACTTAATAAATAACAAGTTACTTTCAATCAAATCCCAGTTAAGTAAATGTATTAATAATAAAAATATAAATATAATTAAATAAATATTGATGATACATGTTGCATAAACATTTACTTTCTAATTGTTAATATTTTAAGCCATATTATTGGCTATTTATTGGTTAAATTTGTAAGTTTCCATATAACTTTTAACTTAACTAAGTTGAAAAATGTACTTATCTATTATTAAGATAATAGATAACTATTAACTTTAAAMTTATTTAAAATGATTTCTATATCTTAACTTAACYAAAAATTATCATTAACTTTCCCAGGATTGAATCTAGGTATATGTCTCGACATACCTACATTACCATGGTTTATGATTACCAATTCCATTATTAACCTTATAGAATAATAATTAATAATTTGACAATGGTATACATTTGTCATAGTCTTAAATAATAAATTATTGTTCTATAATAAATCAATCCTATTTGTATTATATTTCATAATGCATCCATTAAGTAGGTATTAATCACTATCTAAAGTCAATTAAAGTTATGTTAKCCGGATTGGCAATATAATAAATATCAAAAACTGTTAAGTATTTGAAATTCTTTTTAAGCTCATACACTACACACCTAATAAAAAATATAATATACAAAAACTTTGAAATAGCTCTTTGTGTGTAAACCGGTTGGGCAGATAAATATACCATTTGGGCAAGGGCACTTATTTTGAAGGTATTGAAAAATATTATAATAACTTATAAGTTTATAACCCAAATAAAAAAGAAACAGTAAAGTATAATAATATATGATGTACTATATAATAATGAATCACAAGTTACTTGTTCATCAGCGGTGGCTCCCCTAACTCTAGTAACTTTACTATATTATGTATGGTTTATAAATTTACGATATTTCTTGTCCATCAGTATTATTACTCGTTTTCATTATAAAACAAAGCTAAAATATGTATCGTTAGACATTAATTAAATTTTAAAATGTGTTAAAAACCAAAACCAATGTATYTATTWAAAAAAAACAATTGTTAATGAATATAACATCTACTAAGTGGAGAAAATCTTCATATTTTTTATTCATTGAATTTTAATTATACYTACCTATACGAATTAAATAATAATGGGACCCGAAGCAAATCKTTATGGTTTTAATTTTATGTATCTTAAATCTCAACTGAATTTATTTATTTTATCAAGTTTCAAAAACTGGTATTCCAAGTAAAGTTCAAAATTATATTGTTTATACTGCTAATGCAATTTTAATGAAACCTGTTTTGGTTTAATTTTGATAATAATTTATGATACATTTTATACCATATTTCTCTAGTAGTCCGATGGACACTAATTCCTATCAACAGCAGTGTAGTGTAATCTAGGTACACATGTTATAATTTATATTTTTTAATTTTTTAATATTTTATTCAACYRTGGAATCACTTTGTTCGTTTTAAAATTTWAAATACATTTTTACRTAATTATATAGGTATGTAATTTTACCAACACTGGACAAGTGGACAGTATACTATTAATATGTCATATTATATTATGGTATTCTGCTTAAGTATGTTAGAGTAAATATGTAAAATCAAGTTTGATTATTCCACTTTCTAATGTATTTATGAATACAATTGTGCATGTTAATATAATAGCATASTTTATCGAATAGTTTATCATTGGTTATAATTTTAATAATACCCAATAGGGTTTGGATGTTAATAGTTTTTAAAATATATAATACCTATAATTGACTAAGACTTTATCGATTAAAATTTAAAGTATTTGGTGTATAGATCGTAAAAGTTGATAATATTAGTAGGTACACATCTTTAATATAGTCGTATGGTTCGATTATTTATTAGGGTGTTTTTTTTTTTTTAATTTTCTTCCCACCAATATTATAATATTATTATTTACTCTTCTGCCTGCCTCCTTTAAAACTCAAGTTAATATTTGAATACTGTATACAGAATAATAGTTCAATTTTTAAATAATAATTTAAACACCTAAGGACCACCTTAGTTTTTTTAGTGACTATGTATAAACAAACATTATGATTGTTATAAGTTTTTTTTAATCCAGGTAACCAAAAAAAGTAACAACAATTAATATGAATTGTTTAATATGGCTTATTTCATTTACCATAATATATATATATATATATATATATATATATATATATATCAGTGTGTCCCGTTTTAAATGTACCACTAAATATCTCAGCCCGATAATCTTAGATTGAAATACGGTTTGCTGCAATAGCTATGGTGAGTGTAATAAACATTGTCGGGAGGCTGCAATGGTTTATGCAAATCGATATCCCGAAAGATATCATCCACCACATAATTTTTTTTTTTAACATTAGGTACTTAATAATTTACGAACTTACGGGACTTTTTCGATAAGAGATGCACAGAGACAACCACTACGCAATATGGAACCAAATAATGATCAGGAAAATGGAGTAATTGCGTACATTCAATTAAATCCTCACTTATCTTTAAGACATGTTGCTAGAGAATTTTGCTTTTCAAAAACAAAAGTACACAAAATATTCAAAAAATACAAGTTACATCCTTATAGGGCTGATCTAGTTCAGCATTTACGCCAAGGTGATAACGAACGTAGATTAACATTTATTGCATGGATAACAACATGTACAAATAACGACCCATTATTTTTAAATTACATTTTCTGGACCGATGAATAAAAGTATACCAATAATGGTGTTTTMAATAAGCAGAATAACCGTTATTGGTCAAACGGAAATCCACATTGGGYAGTTGATACAAATTATCAAACAGTACCTATGGAGCACAAATGTGTAGGTAGTGCGGATTATTAGGAGGAAATTTAATAGGTCCACATTTTTATGACGGTACTCTTAATGGAAGACATTATTCAGATTTCTTAACTTTGCTACCGATGATGTTGGAAGATGTCCCTTTATTACTTCGTCAAAACTTATTTTTTCAACAGGATGGAGCACCCGCTCATAATGCCATTATTGTAAGACAACAATTAAATTAAATGTTTGGAAATCGATGGATGGGAACTCACGGGCCAGTGGAATGGCCCCCACGGTCACCTGATCTAACACCATTAGACTTTTTTTATGKGGCCATTTAAAGACTTTTGTTTATGCAGATCCACTAGCAAACTTACAGGATTTAAAAAATAAAATAACGGTAGCGTGCAGACAATTATTAACAAAAGAACAAATGTTGGCAGCAACCTATAGAGAAGTAAGTTGTCGACTAGAATTGTGTTTAGAAAATAACGGAGGAAATTTTGAACATTTTATTAGATAAAAAAAAAAACTTAAGTCAAAACAATGTAACGGAGTAATTTTTATTTAATTTCCTACTTCACATTCTTAATTAAAATCTATGAAAAAATCACTCGATTAAAGCGTGTAATGTTTTTGGTATAATCGAAAAAATTTAATTATTTTAAAATTTCAAAAAKCTGTAACTCATTMAATTTTAGATTTATAAGTATGGTAAATGGATCAAAATTACTTAGAATAAAATAATCTATCCATATCCGGTGACAAAAATAGGTGTTGAAATTAAAAAAAAAATTGTATTGCGCATGCTCAAACTACGCAAACTACTAGAGTTAAAAATTTGAAATTTGTCCTTAAATGTGTACTTCAGTACCCCTTAGCTATTGCAACGAACCGTATTTCAATTTAAGATTATTGGGCTGAGATATTTAGTGGTATATTTAAAACGGGACACACTGTATATAAAAAATATTAATTGGAACATAAAAATATTTTCGCAAACTATCAT